ATCCGCCTGCCTCTGCCTCCCAAGTGCTGGGATTAAAGGAGTGCACCACCACGCCTGGCTACATTTATTTTTTTTTTAAATAATTTTTATTATATTTATTTGTAAGTGTGTGTGCGCACAGGCGGGTGCACACGCGCTATGGTGCACCTGTGGAGGTCAGAGGACAACATTTCGGAGACAATTCTTTTTCCATCATATGGGTCCTGGGGATTGAACTCAGTTTCTCAGGCTTGACAGCAAGCACCTTTACCCACTGAGCCATTTTATTTATTCATTCATTCATTGGTGTTGGTATGTGTATATACCTGAAGGTATGTATATGGAGGTCAGAGAACAGCTTCCAGGAGTCAGTTCTTGTCTTCTACCATGTGGAACCCAAAGATCAAACTTGGGTCAGGTAGTCAAGCTTCATGGCAAGTAGCTTTACTGTCTGAATCATCTCTAGGGCCTAGTCTCTGCCTGTTCCCTTGAGACAAAGTCTCTCTCTGAACCTGGGGCTTGAATCTGGGCTCAAAAGCTGGAAGCCAGCAAGCCCCAGTGATCGTCCTATCTATGTTGGAGTTATGGCAGTTTGTAGGGATGCCTGGCTTGCTACATGGGTGCTGGGCTCCAAACTCTGTTCCTCATGATTGTGGAACAAGTGCTCTTAACCACTGAGCTGCCTCTCCAGTCCCTGTGGGGTTTTTTTTGTTTTTGTTTTTGTTTTTTTTTTTGATGCAGAGTCTCAAATAGCTCAGCCTGGCCTTGAACACTCTACGTAGTCAAGGCTGGTCTTGAATATCTGATCCTCCTGTCTCCACCTCTCAGGGGAAGGGATTATAAGCATACACTACTATATTCAGCTTAACCTTAGATTTTAGAATAACCTATGTCGCAGAAGCAATTTTATCATAAATATCCATGCCCCCCCCCCTTTTTGGTCTTTTGAGATAGTGTCTCCTTATAGGCCCAGCTGGCCTGGAACTATGTAGACCAGGCTGGCCTTGAACTCAGAGATCCACCTGCCTCTGCCTCCTGAGTGCTGAGATTAAAGGCATGGTGGCTGTGTTAAGCCTTTTAAAATTCTTTGTTTCTACATTTTGTTTTGTTTTGGGGTTGCCTAGGTATTGAACCCAGAGTCTAAAGTATATTAGATAAGTATTCCCATTGAGCTATATCCCCTCAGTTCATATTTATCTATTATTTTTATATGTAGTGCTGGGAATAAACCCCGGAGCCTTGAACATACCCCAGGACTTACTTTTCCTATACACAGGATATACACAGGATTTCAAATAACCATGTAGCTAAATTTTTTTTTTTTTTTGGTCTTTTTGAGACAGGGTCTCCCTGTAGCCCCAGCTGTCCTGGAACTCACTATGTAGACCAGGCTGGCCTTGAACTCACAGAGATCTGCCTGCTTCTACCTCCCAAATGCTGGGATTAAAGGCTTGCACCACCACACCCAGCTGATTTTTTTATTTATTTAATTTTATGAGTGTTCTGCCTGCATGTATGTGCACCCATGTTGTGCAATGCCCAAGGAAGCCAGAAGAGGGTGTTGGATCCTCTGGAACAGGAGTGATGGATGATTGTTAGCTGCCATATGGGTGCTGGTAACTGAATCTGAGTCCTCTGCAACAGCAGCCAGTGCTCTCAACCACTGAGCCATCTCTCCAGCCCTGACCTTGAACTCCTGATCCTCCTGCCTTTACCTTATGAGTGCTGAGATTACACACACACACACACGGTTTTTGTGGTACTGCCCAAGACACACTTAGGCAAGTACTCCATCAATTGAGCTATTATCCTTAGCCCCTCAATTTGCTTTTATAATTTTAAGCATACAGAAATTGTTCTGGAACAAAGACCTGAAAATGTCTTCAGTAGAAAGGCAATCAATTTAGGAAATGATTTAAAAAGATATTTCCTGGGGCTGGAGAGATGGCTCAGCGGTTAAGAGCATTGACTGCTCTTGCAGAGTGTTGGGGACCCCTGCTGTCTAAGGTAGCAGTCTCTCCATGTCTGGATAGCCGCAGGCCAGCTCGGCGCGAATGCAGGGACTCCCTTTCTCAGCGGGGCGCCTTCCTGCTCTCTTTCTGACTCACCTTTTGAAGTGCCCGTCACAGATACATGTCCTCTGGCATGAAACTGCCAGGTTTTCCTGTGTGATAATCAGGCACTGTCTGACAGCCTGGCAGAAGCCCACCACCACATGTAAATGGGGCATCCTACAAAGCACCTATCAACTAAGGCTTTTGCTACTGCCTCCACACTGTAAATATCCTGGTTTCCCCCTAATAAATCAGAGCTGTATCAGGAGTTGAATCACTAAGATCTGGAGCTGAGCTGAGTCACTGAATAAAGGAGCTGTATCAGGAGCTGAGCTGTACCAGTCTCTTATTCAATCTCCCTGGAGGGGGCTGTCCCTTCATAAACATTCACTCGCGGAGATCCTGCTTTCGCCGTTCTTACACCTCCCCTCGTGATCCGGTGGCCGGCGGATCGTGTACCTAGAGGGAGTGCCCGGTAGCTTGGAACGGAACTCATCTGGAAGCGCAGCGACCGCTGAGTTGCCAGCATCCGGTAGCTGCGGAGAGCCAGGGACCTGAGCAGCAACGTGGAGAGACAGGAACCCCGACCATACAGAGGACCCGGGTTCAATTCCCAGCACCCACATGGTGGCTACGAACCATCCTTGACTCCAGTTCCAGGGGAATCTGAAGCCCTCTTCTGACCTCTGCAGCATTGCACAACACAGGTGCATTCACATACATGCAGGCAATACACTCATACACATAAAAGAAGAAAAAAGATATTTCCTGAAATGGATTATAATTTTATTTAACAAGTCCTATACATTTTATGAATCAAAAAGGAAAATAAAGGAGTTTGGACTGGGTGGGCTGGTGTGCACTTACAAGTCTCAGTTCGAGGCCAGAATTAGGGGAAGGGAAAGAGGGCACAGGAAGAGAAAATAAAAAGCCTATGAACTTGATTGTGTCTTCTGGCCTGCCCTGCACACTTTCCTTTCCTCTCCTCTCCTCCCCGCCTCCCCTTTCCTTTCCTTTGGTCTTTTTTGAGACAGGGTCTCCCTGTAGTTACACCTGGCCTGGATTCACTATGGAGACCAGGCTGGCCTTGAACTCACAGAGATCCATCTATCTCTGCCTCCCAAATGCTAGGATTAAAGGCATGTGCCACCATGCCCGGCTCTTCTTTTCTCTCTTTTTTTTTTCAAAGTTTTAAAAATATTTTATTTGTCAGGTGTGGTGGCGCACACCTTTAATCCCAGCACTAGGGAGGCGGAAGCAGAGGCAGGTGGATCCCTGTGAGTTCAAGGCCAGCCTGGTCTACAAAGTGAGTTCCAGGTCAGCTTAGGCTGGCTATAGGGAGACCCTGCCTCAAAAAGACCAAAAAAGTAACCATTTTATTTATTATTTTTATTTTATGAGTGTATTGCCTGCATGTAAGTGCACCCATGTCATGCAATGTCCTCAGAGGTCAGAAGAGGGCATCGGATCCCCTGGAACTGGAATTACAGATGGTTGTTAGCTGCCATGTGGGTGCTGGGAATTGAACCTGGATCCTCTGCAAGAGCAGTGGGTGCTCTTAATCACTGAGTCATCTCTCCAGCCCCAGCTCTGCACGCTTTTCATAGCACTCTCGGGATCTACATTCTCTGTGGCCTATGAGCTCTGCTTTACTGGAGTTACACAATGTTGACCCAAAGATTGCCTGATTCCAACTGTGAAGCTGCAAAGATGCTATAACCTTAATACACCATGTATAAAGACAAAAATCTTAGCAACAACAGTGACCTCTAGTAGTGAAATCAGCACCCTCCCCACCCAATGTAATTATAGATTAAAATGAAGACCCACCTTGTATTTGGAAATTCTAAATGTAATGCTATGTTACCCTTTAATTTGTAGGGATTTATTCTCCTCTTATAATGTGGAAGGGGTTAAGGGTAGAGATTACTCCACCCAAAAAGTGTTCATCTAATTTGTTTTTGAAACTTTAAATCCGAATCTGTTTTTCCTGAGACAATTAGTTGAAATTTCAGCTAGCAGGGATATGAACTAGCTCTACAACGTGGGCAATGGAAAGAGGGCCTTCACTAGCAGAACTCAAAATGGGTGGTCAGGGACAGTGATGGGGAACATGTAGGAAACGGAGGGGACCAAGACAGGCCATGATCAGACACTTGCTTAAAGAAGAAAATTCATCTCCAGCATTCTTACTTTGGGCCACACTGATATAACAATACACGAGTGTTTTCCCAACTTAGTAACACTAGGTAATTTATTTGCAAAACTGAATGCTGAAGTCCTAAAATTTTTTTGGTTAGAGGCCAAATCTATTTTTTTATTTAGTATTTTAATTTTATGTGTATGAGTGTATTGCTAGCATGTATGTAAGTGCACCTGTGTCATGCAATGCCCACGGAGGTCAGAAGATGGTGTTGGATTTCCTGGAACTGGAGTTACGGACAGTTGTTAGTTGCCATGTGGGTGCTGGGATTCGAAGCCAGGTCCTCTGCAAGAACAGCCAGTGCTCTTAATTGCTGAGTCATCTCTCCAGCTCAGAGAGGAGGTCAAATCGAGTGCTGGGTAATTACTATACACACTGGGTTACATCCCCAGCCCTTTGAAGCCCTAATTTTTTTTTTTTTTTGGTCTTTTTGAGCAGGGTCTCACTATGTAGACCAGGCTGTTCTTGAACTCATAGAGATCCACCTGCCTCTGCCTCCTGAGTGCTGGGATTAAAGGCGTGCGCCACCACGCCCGGCTGAAGCTCTAATTTTTTATTTAGTATTTAGTATTTGTGAAATTATCAACAGCCTCCCTTCATCTATCTATAAGATTCTTCTCAAATGACTTTTTTTTTTTTTTTTTTTTTTTTTTGAGAAAAGGTCTCAGTGTAACCTAGGCTGGCCTCAAACTCATTGTGTAGCCAGAGTTGACCTTGAACTTCTGATCCTCCTGCCATCACCTCCCCAGTGTAGTGATTACATGCATGTGTCACCACACCCATTGGTGTGGGGATTCATCACAGGGCTTTGTGCATGTTGGGCAGGCACTCCATCAACTGAACTATATCCCTGCCCTGAAAATGAGTGTTAAAGCAGGAGAACGTGTGTTTAGTGAGAAGACCCTCTTAAGCCTGAGGAGAATGCAGCTCATTTACAGGATAGAAATAGTTGCCTGGAGGCATAGTAAAAGCTGTAAAATTCCCTGCCTAGTCCTTACCAATCCCTCAAAGGACAAGGGAAAGTCTATTTTGAGGGAAGTAAAGCCTGCCGTTGAAGTTTAGGTTACAAACAGGGAACTATTCAAACACTTAAATCTAATTATTTTTACCAGTAAAAACCAATTCATTGTGCAGGCAACTTTTCTCTTGCTTGAGGCGAATGATCTCTTCTCGTTGCTCATTGTTTTCTGTGGTCTTTTCATTCAGGTCCTCTTCGCGAACAGAAAGAAGAAAAAATTCCAAATGAATACCAGGAATTCCTGTATTTCCTAGGAAATACAGACACCACACAAAACCTCCATGCCCTCAGCAACCCCTTCCAACCACTCGGAAGCCCTGTTGGAGCTATAGCCAATATACTCTAGGCCATTTGCTACCTCTGGCCTGGTCTCCCTGCTCTGGACTTGCCTTTCTTGTCACAGCTCAGGGGACACACAGATATCTTTAAAAACAAAAATTCCAATGCCAGGCATGGTTGTGCATGCCTTTAATTCCAGCCCTAAGGAGGCAGAGGGCAGGATCTCTGTGGGGACTAGAGAGAACCTGTCAAAAAAAAGAAAAAACCCCAAAATTCCTCGTGTCATTTCTTGGTAACAAGTTTTCTTACTGCACTCAAGCAGCAATCCAAAGTCATTACTGTAAATAGCCAGGCCCACAGTGACCTGGATGTCCTTACTCCCTACCACTCTTTCCTTTCTTTCCTTGACTGCCTCTGGGGTTTAAAAAAACGAGATGGGATTGGAGAGATAGGTCAGCCAATTAAGAGCATTGGCTGCTCTTCCAGAGGACCTGGGTTCATTTCCCAGCACCCACATGGCAGCTAACACCCATCCATTTCTTCAGTTCCAGGGGATCTGATGCCCTCTTCTGACCTCTGTGAGCATTGCATGACACAGGTGCACTCACATGAAGGCAATACACTAATACACATAAAATAAAATAAAAATAATAAAATATTTTTTAAAAAGGAGATAATTTTGGATTTGTCTTTGTTGTTGGTAAAGAACTTCTGGCTGGGCATGGTGGCACATGCCTTGAATCCCAACACTCAGGAGGCAGAAGCAGGTGGATCACTGAGTTCAAGGCCAGACCAAAAAAAAAATCTTAAGAACTTCTGAAACCCTTAGGATTGTGTGTGTGTGTGTGTGTGTGTGTGTGTGTGTGTGTCTTTTTGTTGGTTGTTTTTGGCAGGGTCTCCCTAGTCACAGCCCACCTGGAAGTCACAATGTGAACCGGGGTGGCCTCAATCTTGCAGATCTCTCTGCCTCTGCCTCCAAGGCTGGGATTAAAGGCACACACCACCACGCCCAGCAGGATTTTTTTTTTTTTTTGATTGATAGGTATATCTTATCATCTAAAAGAAGCCCCTCTTGCAATCCCAGCACTTGGGAGGCTGAGGCAGGAGGATCAAGAATTTGAGGCTACCCAGAGCCTATGGCAAGACCTTATCTTACAAACCAAAACAACGCAGAACAGAATAGAAAAAAGGAGTCCTTCCAGATCACACCTGACAGCACCAGGGCCCCTCTGGGAATTAGCAAGTCCTAGGCCATAGAGGGCTGGAACTTTCAGGCCTTCTCACTTTGCTTCCACAAGGGGAAGGTTGAGGACTAAGTTCTATAAAACCCCTGACAACTTGAGATTGAGAGCACCTGATTTAATAAACACTCGCGAGTGTTCAAGTTTCACTCCAGAGGATATGGGAGCTCTACATGTGGAAGCCACTTTCATCTGAGGTTCCAGAGTTTCATCTTTACAATATTCCAGAAACAAAGTGTTTCCCTGAGTTTTATGAGTCCTCCCAGTAAATGATGGAAGTTGGGCAGGTAGGAACCCCTAACTTATTGCTAGTTGGTCAAAAGTATGTATGGGTCCCCTGGGATCGGTGACTGATATCTTAAATGGGGACAGTCTTGTGGGACTTTAACCTGTAGGATGTGATACTAACTCCAGGTGTATGGCAGCAGATAGAAATGAATGTCTGTATACCCAAACGAGATAGATAGGAGGAATACAGAATTCCTTTTCCCTAGGAGCAAACAAAACAAAACAAACCAGCATGTCCTGATCTTAATAGCCACTCTCTGACTTTTGCATTCGCTGTTCTATTTTCTGTCTGAAAGACTCTTGGCTCAGATGCTCACATGGCTAGTTCTGTTTACCATCCAGTTGCAGCTCAGAGGCTAACTCTTCAAATTCACCTTCTCGGTCCAGACTAAATGAGGCTCTCTCCCTTGCTTCTGTTCTGTTTCCCATTATCAATTTGAAAAACATTTTAATAAATATTTAATAAACATTGGATTAATAAAATATTCATAATACATATATATTGACACAACAGGTTTCTTTCTACTTGAATATCCTATCCAGGCATATATAAACATTCAATAAACACTGACTACCCACAGTGTATCCCTGGTGCTGTGCTGATCTGAACAGGAGGAGACAGAGTTCCCCACAGCCATGGCTTATGAAATGACTGTGGCCTTGGCGGAAGCTATAAATGGAGACAAGACTATGATATTTACCACAAGTGAAAACACTGTAAGGTCAAGACTGTAAAATGCTGAGTCATCCACATTAAACCAATCAAGATGAAATTCTGTAATTCCAGATTAGAGGAAGTGGCGGAGACAAGGTCTCATGTAGTGTAGATTGCCTTAAACTCTCTATATAGTGGAAGATGACCTTGATCCTCCTGCCTCCTACTCCTCAATGCTGGTTATTACAGGACTGTACTGCCTTGTCTGGTTCAAATTTCAGAATCATTTAGTTGAAATAGATGTTGGTCATTTCATTCAGGAATAGGCAGAAATCTCTTCCACATTATTCCCATGCTTGAATATATCCAGGAAGCCCAAGTCACTGTCTTATGATGAAGCATTTCACCCTGAACAGAGTGAAAATAATTCCCCACACTATGGTGCTGTCACTGCTTCCCAGGGGCTTGTTTAGTGGTGGAGTCAGTCCTCTTATCCAGTATAATGGCCATTCACAGAATAGAACAGATGTAAGATGAAAATGATTGCTCTCCAGCCAAGCAGTTGATTCAGCTCCCATCTCCCAGTCTGCCCTGGGAGAAAAGCCAAAAAAAAAATGGGCCTACCTCTATGCCCTTTATAGATAAATTTGAATTCTTACATTATAACCAATATCCTTATTCAAATACACAACACCACCCATATAGCAAGTATATACCAAGACACTTGGTATATCTTTTACTATAAAACTTCAAGAACTGTATTAATAAGAAGTGAATCACAGTGGTACTGAAAGAAAACCACCCTAAAAGCATTTGCAAAATCACCAAAGCCACTCTGAGAAGCTATGCTGGTAGCAATGCCTCAGCTCCCTGGTATATGATTTTATGTATTTCTCCCCAAGACTCAGAGAATAGTCTCCCACTGTTTGACTCTGGGTTTATCCACCTGACTTGCTTCAGACAATAGAATGAGGCAGTGACAGTATGGCAGGTCCAGGCCTAAAACTTGAATGTTTCTGCTTTTTTATGCTTCTGTCCTCATGATAGGAAGAGCTGTTCTGGCTGGCCCACTGGTGAAGAGAGGAGACACATAAAGCAGAGCTGCTCTGATAAGAAGCTTGACTAGGTCCAGTCTTGACTAGCTAACTCCTTTGGACCAACTCCAGCTACCGGAGTTTAATCAATGCAAAGACTCATGCTGCTGGTGTTTACTGCACAGCATGTATCCAAACGGCTGGCTGGTGCAGTCAGGTAAACTAAAGTAGGATTTAAAAATACATTCTGCAGCTGGGTGTGGAGGCAGAGGCAGGCGGATCTTTCTGAGTTTGAGGCCAGCCTGGTCTACATAGTGAGTTCCAGGCCAGCTGGGGCTACAGGGAGACCCTGTCTCAAAAGGGTCCCTGCAGTTTACCACAACTCTTATCTTGTATTATGAAAATTATGGCACATACTGGGTGTAGTGACACATACCTTTAGTCCCAGCAGGTAGAGGCAGGCAGATCTCTGTGAGATCAAGGTCAGCCTGGTCTACAAAGTAAATGCCGGGCTAGCTGAGGCTGTCTCAAAAAAGACAGAAAAAAGAAAAAGAGACAGAGGAGAGAGAGAGAGAGAGAGAGAGAGAGAGAGAGAGAGAGAAAGAAAAAATTATGGCACAAGCTGAGTGTGGTATGTACACACCTTTAATCCCAGTACTTGGGAGGTAGAAACAGATAGATCTCTATGAATTCAAGGCTGACCTGGCCTATATAGCAAGTTCCAGGCTAGCCAGGGGCTACATAGTGAGACCCTGCCTCTATAAACAAACAAAAAAAACTAAAGGAAGGCACAAAATACATAAATTAAATAGGCACTGATTGCATGCTAGAATCTACAGCCAACCTTACTTTCAAGTATAAGGTTTAGGGAACCCAGATAAAAAGTAAATTCCCAAGATAATATATTGCTATCTTATTCTTGTCATTCCCTTACCTTTCAGTTTACCAACTTCAATCTTGAGCACCTTCAGTTTCTGCTTATAATCTTGCTTTTCTTTCACAATACAAGTCTCTGCCATCTTAGCATCACGTAAAGCATGCTCTAGCAATTTAAATTTACCCGAACAATCTGCAATGTGATTGACTGCCTCAATAATATCTTTGTCCTAAAAACCAAGTTGAAAACTGTTATGCTAGATTTTTAAACCCCAACTAATCAGTAAGATTATTCTTAGACTGCACTGTACATCAAGCTTCTGTCTAAACACTTTTCATATTAACTCATTTAATCTTGTCTGAAACTTTTATGACGTAAGTGTTCTTGTTAACACCAAGTGACAAGCTTCAGCAGACACATGGCTCACAGTACTGGAGCAGTCATTTCAACATAGCTGACTGGCCTTGGAAACCATGTGCTGTCAGGGCTGGAAAGGTGGCTCAGCAGTTAAGAGTACTGGCTACTTTTGCAGAGGACCTGGGTTCGATTCTCAGCACTCACATGGCAGCTAACAACCCCATGTAACTCCAGTTCCAGGGGATCTGACGCCCTCTTTCTGACCTCCTTGGGAACTGCATGACACAAGTGCACTTGAATACATGCAGGCAATACACTCATATACAAAAAATAAAAATAATAAATAAAATTTAAAGAAAGAAACGAAAGAAACCATGCTTCAATTTTATGTCTTACAGGGTTTATACTGAGTTCAATACTGTATAACTGCATTAATTCAACTGTGAACCCAAACATTTTATAGCCACTTTTAAAAGAGATGTATCTTTGCTCTGGAAATTGTTATTGAGTATGTTAAAGCTGTAGTGAAATGCTTCTTCTAAAAAATACAAAACATTTAGGCCGGGGGTGGTGGCGCATGCCTTTAATCCCAGCACTTAGGAGGCAGAGGCAGGTGGATCTTAGTGAGTTCGAGGCCAGCCTGGTCTACATAGTGAGTTTTAGGACAGCTGGGGCTACAAGGAGACCCTGTCTCAAAAAGACAAAAAATAAATAAATAAATAAAATAAAATAAATTTTAAAAAAGGAAGAATCCACGCTGACTCCAAATCTTGCTGGCTCTTGGAAAGTTGAGAATCAGACAATTTGATTGCTAGGGAAAACTGTACAGCAAGAGGTAGGTTGGCAGCTCTTGGAAGGGGAGATTATTCTCTGGATCACAGATAAGTCTCATGGGCCCAACATTTCCCCCTCTTTTCAGCTTGTTAAAATGACAGACTCTAAGACATCGTCCTGGTCAGCATGCCAAATCAAAATTTTTTGTTGTTGAAGCTGTTTGAATTACAAAAATGCATCTGCTTGTTGAAAAGAAATTCAAACTGTAACTAATGGCTAAAAAATAAATGGCTGGAGAGACAGCTTAGTGGTAGAGCACTCGCCTAACACATGTGAGGCTCTGGGCTCAGTCCCCAGTATCACAGATGTGGAGGAGTATCTAAAATAATACTGAGGATGGCTCTTCCCTCCCCCATTCACTGGGAAACTAGTATTAACAGGTTGTACCTTCCTGAATGTAAGGATTTCTGCTGAAGCATTGTGTGTGCCTTCTGGAAAATGCTCACAAACAGGAGGACTTACAGGGAGAAAAAAGGGTTGGGCTGACCCATTCAGTATCAACAGAAAGCTGGGCATGGTAGTGCATACCCAGAACTTCAACCCTCCAGAGGCTGAGTGAAGAGGATCAATGAGTTCAAGACTAGCTTGAGCTAAATAGTAAGACCTTATCTAAAACAAAGAAACAAACAAATTTTTAAAAAACCCAAGGTAAAACAAAACAAAATAAAAAACAGTGGGAGGGCTGAGGATATAGCTCCAGGGAGAGTACTTGTCTAGCTAAAGGGCCTGAGTTCAATCTCTAACACAAAACAAACAAGTAGAAAAGAAAAAAAAGGAAATTTTGTGATCAAATCAGTTTGAAATATAAACATCCTAATAAGCAATTAAGTCAGACCCAGTGGGGACATAAATTCACTCAGTCTCTGTCAGCTTTAAACCAGGAGCTTAGGAGCCCCTACTTTCCCCTTTGTAAGTATGTCCCGATAAGCATCTGCTTCTAACAGAGATCATGAGCTGCTTCTGTAAAGTGCTATTCTGTTATGGGAGACTACCCTTGAAGCCTCTTCATTAGCATACCAGCTTTGCCAGAGTGTGTCAAAATGGACAAGGTATGGGCCACTATTGTAAGGAAAGTTAATTTTGTAGATTTTAATATTTTCTGCTTAAAATGTTTTGCTTTATTAATTTTTATTTTAATGTGAGTGATTTGCCTGCATATATAAGTGTACCTGTGCATGCAGTGCCCACAGAAGCCAGAAGGTATCAGACCCCCTGGAACTGCAGTTATGGATGTGGGTGCCAGGGTCCTCTACAAGAGCAGCCAGTGCTCTTAAATGCTGGGCTATTTCTCTAGCCCAGTATTTTCTGTTTTTTAAGAAAGTTTGGCTATGATCACATTACAATATTAATGTGCTAAGGAAAATTACAAATGAATTTACTAGTGAGTTCATCAGCTTTATCCCCTTGCTGAGCCAAAGGCATATGTGGCCAGGGAGTCAGTATGCCATGCAGTAGCCCAGGTTTCTTGTTGTATCAGCTATTTGCTGTCAGTTTTTCTTTCCATTTTAATAAAAGATTAGTAAGTATCTGACTGTCAATATCTTCATGAGACACAACAATGGATCCCTGGGAAGGAAAAAGATTCACTCAGGCAAAGTACAGAATTTGGAACATCATTTAAATCTGTTTCTTGGGGGCTAGAGAGATGGCTCAGCGGTTGAGAACACTGGCTGCTCTTGCAGAAGACCTGGGTTCGATTCCCAGCACTCACATGGTGGCTAACAATGGTCCATAACTCCAGATTCCAGGGGAATCTGACGCCCACTTCTGACTTCCTCGGGCATTGCATAACACAGGTGCACTTACAATACATGCAGGTAATACACTCATACACAGAAAAACCAAAAAAATTTTTTTTTGTCTTTTTGAAGCAAGGTCTCCCTGTAGCCCCAGCTGTCCTGGAACTCACTATGTAGACCAGGCTGGCCTTGAACTCACAGAGATCCACCTGCCTCTGCCTCCCAAGTGCTGGAACTACAGGCATATGCCACCATGCTCGGCTTCTTTTTTAAATTTATTTTTATTAGCCAGGCATGGAGGCACACACCTTTAGTCCCAGCACTCTGGAATCCAGGCCAGTTGTGGCTACAGGGAGACCCTGTCTGAAAAAAACCAAAAACAAAGAGAAAATTTATTTTTATTTTATGTGTATGAGTGTTCTGCTTGCATGTATGTAAGTGCACTAGTGTCATGCAATGCCTGCTGAGGCCAAATGAGGGTGTCATCAGATCCCCTAGAACTGGAGTTATGAATGGTTGTTAATTTGCCATGTGGTGTTGGGAACTGAACCCTGGTCTTCTGCAAGAGCAGCTAGTGCTCCTAATTGCTGGGCTGTCTCTTCAGTTCCACATTTCTTTCTTCTTTTTTTTTTTTTTTCTTCTTTTTTGAGACATGGTCTCCCCGTAGCTGCCTGACTTGCTATAGAAACTAGGCTGGCCTCGATCTCACAGAGATCTACCTGTCTCTGCCCCCCAGAGTACTGGGATTAAAAGGCATGTGCCACCACACCCAGCTTACTTTCTATCTTTTTTTTTTTTTTTTTTTTTTTTTTTGAGACGGGGTCTTCCTGTAGCCCCAGCTGGCCTAGAACTTGCTATGTAGACCAGGCTGGCCTTGAATTCACAGAGATCTGCCTGTCTCTGTTGGGACTAAAGGCGTGCACCACCATAGCTTTTTTTCATTTTTAAAAGGAGGATCTTGAGGGCTAGAGAAATGGCTAAGTGGTTAAGAACACTGGCTGTTCTTGCAGAAGACCCGGGTTTGAATCCCAGCACCCACATGGCAGCTAACAACTGTCTGTAACTCCAGTTCCAGGGGATCCG